TTAGGGAGGCCATTTCTTAACTTCCAAAACGGTAGTAGAGAACTTAGCTTTTTGTAACGTGTTCCCATAGACAGCGCCAACTGATGATGGGCAATCTAGTCGCTCCCTTGTGTATTGTGGCTGTGCTCGAACAAGGTCCTAATCTGGCAGTGTCGAGCTGGTATCTATGTGATCGAGCTGGAAAGAGTTGTAAAGAGAGAAAGGTGAGAGTGCTTGGATAGGTTTTACCCTAGAGAACACTTCGATGCTTAAGTCAGTATGGGAATTTCGTGGGAATGTGTGAGAGAGCTTGTGCTTCAGTGCGCATACCTTTCTAGGTGGATCTGGACGCCTTTATATAGGCTCCTAGGCTCTAGGGGTTCAGGGTAATAGTCTTGAGCTCTTTGTGGAGTTGTTTCCTTATTTTCAAGCGCATTAAGGTGTTAGTTGAGAGATTTTCGCGGGAGTTACGATTTGTCCAAGTGAAGTCGAGGTGTGTGACACGGTGAATCGTTCTAACGGTCGCGCTATCGACGCCTTTGGTAGCGAGCTACTGGGGATGGTTAGCGAGCTCTTCCTCGTAGGTCGCCTTCGGTCCTCTCAGCTCAGTTGGCTCCTAGAACAGGTTGCTGCCAACTCGGCCTTGCCGAGGTGGAACTGCAGGGGGTGGTTAGCGAGCTCTCCTTAATAGGTCGCCTTAAGTCCCTATAGCTCGACCGACTCCTAGGATAGCTCACCGTAATCCTACGGATCAGCTAATTCGGTTTTACCAAGGTAGAAGTCACATGTCGTACGATTGGAAGGACCAAATTAGCCCTCGTCACGTATCGGAACTTTGTCTTTTCTTTCCTTTGTTCTACACTCGAATCTGATCCAGTAATCCAGGTAAAGCTACCCCGGAATCCTTTCTCAATATTTAATTCCCCTTTTCCCACACCAATCTTCTCACTCTGACATCCCGTTTTGTCCTGCTCTAGTATGAGAACTTTCTCACTTCAACTTCTTTGGTAATCTGCTCTTGTCCCATCAATTCTTTCTGCTTTTTTCCTGCCTCTAATATTTCTCGATTTATTTGAGTCTGCCCATCCTGCCCAACTAAAATATTTCCAGCTGCAAACTCAACAAGAGTGATGAGTGATGACCCTTTTCTATCACCACCCGAAAAAATTTGCTGACTTGGTCGACTTTCCACCTTCCATACTTGTGAAATAGAGTCACAAATACTGGGATTTCTGCTAAGCGATTTGACCAGTGAGAAAACCACTTCGAAGTTTGCACCTAGGGGTAGACTCGACCTCACCAGAGTTGCCGGAAAACCGCCATCTTCAACAAATAGCCGCCGTCGAACTGAACTTTGTTCTCCACTTGCTGTTATAATCTCATTACCTTCTACAATTTCGTTATTTTCTAAAACATTCCTTGATGCTGACTCTACCTCTTTTCCCGTCGCCTGAGTTTGTTGAATCTTTTCATCCCCGCTTTGAATCCAAGCTTCTCTGAAATTAGCCGCTATTTCCTCCGTGCCAAGAAACTTTTCATCCGGCTTTCCATTGTCAGCTCTCAACCAAGGCCCAAATCCTTTAACATCAGCTCCGATTGAGAACTTCTGCGTTTCTAGAAGGTCTGCAACTTGGGGCCGACTAAATCTGCACCCCGAAAAGCTTCACAGTTTTGTTGAGAATGTCCCAACCTTCCACACTCCACACAAAAAATAAGCAACGTTTCGTATTTTATTGAGTACCATTTGTCTTTACCATTTTCTAGCTTTCAATGCACAAGCACAACACATACCAAAGGTTTGCAAACATCTACCACCACCCTCACTGTGAGATACAGACCCACTAGCAAAGCATTCACAACATCCTCTATCACTTCCCCAATTTGCTTTCCAAGATTTTTCGTCATACATTCTACTGGCAAGTCAAGAATCTTGACCCAGAATCTGATTTTATGCATGAACATGGTTTGTAAATCCATATCTAGCTCCCATTCCTTTGGAAGCAAATGATACTCCTTGAGCCATGTGGCAAAAGTGATTTCAGTGTTTCATTCATTTGATTATGTACAGATTGTAACATGCCCCCTCAAGTTGGAGTATGTCTACAGATAATGCGCAACTTGAATAAAACTCATTTTCCTAGAGTAGAGTTGAGTGAAGATGTTGGCCGGCTGATTCTTTTTCTACAACCTGAACCACAAAATGCCATTACTCATAATTTTTACATTATATCATCTCTCCAAATGTATCAGATTTTTTGCTCTACTCCCTTCATGTCAAGCTTTTTGTCCGATAAAATCTTCCCCAACACACTATTTTTACATTTTGCCTTTGTCATATCTTTCTCCCAAAACTGTTGTCCTCCTTGAGCCATCTCTTTGGTTGCAATTTCTGCGTCCTATTCCTCCAAGCTCGATGACATTTCTGCACTTCGTTTCTGTTCTCTTGCACTCCTAAAAGAGCACTACAGAGCACTTCGCTCCTTTTAGAGCACTTAGGTTCAGACCATCGTGGAAGACATCAGCCAAAAGGCTGAGCCCATATGCCTTGCCTGGATAGATCTTTTGAAATATTGCTTTGGTTTTGGTTAGGTTTTACGTATTGGACATCTAACCCAAATCCAACCTCACACTTGCTTTAGTTTCAAGGTAAATTAGTGTATTTTAATAGCAACATATGGTATAAATTTATTACTTACAAAAGGCAATTGTCCAAATATTGTAAGAGACAATAGAGGTTTGGTGGTGGCTATGTGTTTTTGTAGTGCAGGCGTGCAATAATCTCTTCTTCCATCTTGGTAGAAGCAAGGTTCAAAGTATCGATATGTATTGGTCGATACGTATCGTGCCGATGACTTCTTGATATGCCCCTTTAGGGGTTGTATCGGGTTAGACACTGGTTTTGAGGGTAGTTAGGCCTTAAATCGATTCTTCTAAACCGGTTTCGAAAAAAATAAATAAAATCTAAAAAAGTATCAATACATTCCGATATGTCCTATCGGCATATCGGACTCGAATAGACTTGCTTGACTGTATTTTTATTCTTTTTTCCTTTGTTATAATTATAAACTTTTACAAAAAAACAGTCCAAATAATGAGTTATTCAAAATCTAAATGTCTATTCATCTTTTTAGTTTGTATCCTTTTATCTTTATTTGCATGTCATATGTGCATAAAAATGACCTTTAAGACTAATTAGTGTAAGAGCATGTGTATAATTTAATATTAATCATATCATATGGTATTTGGTTTTAATTTTTATTATTTACATACAGCGCAAAGCAAATGTCCACTTTATATAATAATAGATATTAAAAACTAATTAATCACAATTAACTAATCGTAAGAGGGTGTTCAATGACTATGGTTTGTTTCACTTGGTTCTAGAATGCACCATAGCGAGTGACGTTCTTTTACATTGGGGCATGTTGTGGGCTGAGCTACGATGTGTTCTATAATTGAATATATTGCAATATTTTCACCACACTAAATTCTTGTGTTCCATAACCCACCACACCTTCAAACAATGATTTTGAACATTTTAGTAAAAATTTATGTATTGGAACACCAATATATGATCATAATACAAAACACTTGTGTAGTGTGGTTAAAATTGACCATGGTGGGGCCCGGTGGCCTAGAATATACCATGCCTTTTTGGCACCCCCTAAATTAAAAGAAGTAAAATCTTATTTTTTAAATAAAATATATTAAAAATTTTACGAACCTTCCAAGCCTGATCCAAAACAATGCTAACTACATCACAATATTTGACATTATTATTATTATTATTTTTTTTTTTGAAAATTCGTAAGGCCAAGAAATGTGAATTTGTGATGTTGCTAGCGTTGTTGATGGTTTATGAGGTTAGGCTAGAGTTGACCACACCCGACCTAATCCGGTTTGATTTACACTCTAACGGGTAATGGATTAATAAACAAGGTTTAAAGCTCTTAATATAGGGCAATGGATATGGGTTATGTAACAACCGGTTAAAATTGGCACAATACACGATGATGTTGGGCTGTATCGCACTATATTAATGGATACAGTTTGATACACGTTGATACAAAAGCGTATTGGTGATTAGTTTGGCAAAATTGTATTATATGTAAAAAATAAAAAAATATATTTATTATTTTAAAAGGTGGATTACTAAATCAATAAATTTTTTCAAATTTTGATAAAAAGTAAATATTATAATTATAAAAATTGAAACAAATGACAATTATTGTATGATGTATATGTGTCCTAGAGTCACATTATTGTTAACCTATTAAAGTTGCATTTCTCATGTGTTTAGACATTATTCGTAAGGTTGCATTTGGAAGTGATGTAATTCGGTTTTGTAGGCAATTGGAAGGAGCGTGTAATTATGATCAACGTAAAACTTCATTTTGGTTCAGTTTTATATGTATTTGGATGGAGTGGAGTTTTATGTTGATAATCGATGTAAAACCTCATCAAGCACGGGGGCGGATCTACGGGGACCAGGGGAGTCATGGCCCCCCTTATGGTCTAGAAATATGCACACTGAATACATTTTTCTATGCAAGTTTCCTCCCTTCCCTTACTTCTCACCCAATGGTTGGCCCCCTTATGGCCCATCCATAAGCTTTGGCTCCTCTCATAAAAAATTCCTAATTCTGCCCCTCATCAAGTAGAAAGATTTTTTATCGATGTAAAACTTTATGCTCTTCCACCCATTGTGTTTTTCAAAGAGCAAGGGTTTACTTTCACGGTTATGTGTTACATTGATAACATTTTACACCGATTTCAAATACATACAGCCTATAATTCAACTTTAAATTTAAATTTAATGTTATTAATATATTTATATGATTTGTATATATTTTGTTAAATACGAATTATCTGCACTTTAACCAATAATAACGCCCCACGTCAGTTGTGCACGCAAAATAACGCGCCATTCATGACTGACGTGAGGCGTTTTTATTGGTTAAATCGTTCCCAACGCAGCCATCATGTGCAGCTAACCCTCGTTAAGTTTTGTTATTACATTTATCCCCGATATTTTCTCTAAAATTCCAATGGATTGACCTCACTATGTCGTGTATCTGAATTCTGAAATACCATCGGAGGAGTAACGGAGCAAGTAATGGCTTTGCTGGGGGACGACGGACGGGGCTACGAGCTTGCGAGAAAGCTGGAAGGATGCGGCGTCTGGCGATCGTGGCTCGGCGAGTCGAATTACTCGAACTTCGCTCCTTTCCTCTCTTCCCCATCGGCATGGGAGGCCTTCATGAGGACCGACGATTCCAAAACTAGGGCTCAGATCCAACTCCAGCTCAGAGCCCGAGCTCTCCTTTTCGACAAGGCCAGCATCTCTCTCTTCCTCCGCTCTCACTCCTCTTCATCGTCGTCTTCGTTAACATCTTCTTTTTCTTCTTCCTCTTCCTCGGTCGCAGCTTCTGCTCCTTCGAGGGTTAATCCTACCTGTAAAGTCTCTGTAGTCTCCTTCCATTGACTTTTCTTTTCTTCTTTACTCTTCATTTCATTTTGGTTGACGCAATTCTTTCAGATTTGCAGTTACATTCGGATGACGTGTACTTCTCCTTAGAAGATGATTCACAAGACCCCGGGGTCCAGCAACAGGAAGGCTCTGCTCCAATTAATTCCATACATTCTAAGGTTTGAGTTAATAGCTACATTAAGCTATTTCACGATTGGAAGTTTTTTTCCTGGTTAAGTTATGTTCTGTGCACGATGCCCAAGTTGAGTCTCTAACATCAGCTTTGGAGTTTCATCATAGGATAACGGTTCTAATTCTCTAGGGTTACTTAAATATTCTAGAAACAAGTAATAAGGGGAATTCTTGTATTGCGTTTATTTTATCCGTACAATCATCCGTTAGAGATACAAAGAGTTGTCCTTTTAGGAGAAAGAAAAACCAGTGGAAGTTAGCAAATAGAAGATAGAAAATGCTTTTGGCTTGTTTTCTTTCACATTCCATGAGAATGAAAGTGCCCATCTTGCTGTTTGTTTAGATTGGGCAAGAGTATTACCGATGTGGTTGACCTCCTAGTAAGTGCTCTTGCTGCTGCAGCCTTTAGTATTTGCTAATACTGCTATTACCATTATCATTTTTTTTTGATAAGTACTATTACCATTATAATTTATTATGTTTGCTTTTTCATCAATATCACAGTAGTCATCGATCATTGTCATCCCAATTCCTAATGTGAAAAAAATCATCTTAACCCTAACCTCTTCAATAGTACAACTTACGTTTTTCTCCTTCTGTAAGAATTTCATTTTTTTGCATGTAAAGTGCAGAAAATTTTCTTGCTCAAGTTTTAGGAGAATAACGAATTAGTCATGATTACCTACCTACTTGGTCCTCAGTTGCAGACTTGCATCAATCCCAATTATTTTTTCAGTGCCATTTTGAAGACAACTTGCCCTAGTCAAACTCTTTATTAGAATGGTGGCTTTGAAGAGGATTAACATCCTTCTTCCAAAAAAGAAAGGAGAACATGGTGATACAGAAAGATGATGAAGCATTTGTTATGGTCTTAATGGTCAAACAGCTTGGCTTGATGTGTTCTGACAGTCCTAGGACTTTTGACATTCTGATGAAGTATGTAACAATTGGTATTGGAGCCTACCCCACATGTTCCAATAGTTCACATTGATTTATATTTTTTAGATATGCAGATTAAAAATATACCAACTTTGCAGACATTAGGAACTTCCAAAGGAATGAAGAAGGGAATTCAAGTTCCCCCCTCAACAAGGGAATAATAATAATAATAATAAGATTTAAGTCTACTGCCATGTGAGAGTCAAACTTTGTATCACCAAAATGTAGCCATGCCTTGGCTTCCTTGTGTGTGTACTCCATAAAGCTAAGTTTTGATGCTTACTCATGGAAATTTTGGTTTATTGTGGAAGCGTGTCTGGAATTGTCTATCAGGGAAACTAAAATGAGCTGGTCCTACCGATAAATATAAGATAGTTTATAAGAGAAAAGAAACAAAAGAGAAAGGCTCAAAGAAGAAGGTTTCTGAGAGGTGGAGAGTTGAGTTCCTATGCTTCATAGGAGAAGTAGTTGTCGACTTTTGTGGAGGAAGGATTGGAGATAAGGTTAGGGCCAGGGGAAAAGGAGGAGAATTGGCGAGATAGTGGGAATAGCTTTGTTGAGTCTCAGCTGGGTAGAAAGGAGGAGAAGGGGGAAAATGGAGATTGAGAGTTTGGATAACAGGAATGTTAGGGTTGGCAAGAGCTTGGGGCTGTTATTTTTTGGGGCAGTGAGGAGTTTTCTAGAAGGGCTTTCGAAGCTTTTGAAAGGAGTAAGAGGGAAGAGAGAATGAAGAAGAGGTGTGGAATGAGGAAGGTGACGGGCAAGAAGTATTTGAAGGAGATGCTTAGTTGCTCTTGAGTTGGGGTGGTTTGTTATGTGTTCTCTCTGCGATCATTGCTGTTGGTGTTTTTAGTTGTCTTATGTAGCTGGTTTGGGTGCTATCTTAACACCTCGGTGATGCTTGTAATCAGTTTTTTATTTTCAATGAAATTTTCTTTTTTACTATTTCGAAAACAAGGGCATGAAGCTATAACACAGCGACAATGTGTTCCCCACACTCCCTCCCATGCATATAACCTTCCTCAAGCAAGTCCAGCCAATTCATACCCAATATTCTCCACTCTCCCTCCCATGCTAATTTTATTTCTTTTTCTTGGGTGATATAGGATAGGTGGGAATTGTACCATTTTTTGTTTCTAGGAATAAGGATTAGGAGGCTCTTTCAATACTAAAACAGAACTTAGAGAGGCCTATACTATATAATGGTGATACTAGAGAGAGGGAGGGAGAGAGATATGTACCACTTTGGTACAGATAAGTAAATAGCAAACAGCTTCAATTCATTTCATTTATCGCCTACCAAGCAAACACAATTGACTTGGACATTTTTTCATGAGCAAGAAATCTCAGTCTTGACACCTAAATACTTGCTTGTTGCCTACTTAATGTCTGGACTCAACTAACTATATCAAGACAACAAATAAATACATTCTAATTAAAGATTACAATAATAAGTTAATTACTAACTTGAAGTATTGAACTTTAACCAAACTATGTCACTGAAAACAAATAACATGAAAAAGCCTTGTTGTTCTAATTTGAGACATTTAGTATCTCCCATAAACTAAGTTTCTCCCAACTATTGTACTTTTCTCCTTACAGATTTTTGTTTGCTTTTGGCCCCTTCATCATTGAGTATTGTTATTCCTTTTTCTTAACTGTTTCTCTTGTTTTCATTTAATAAAGTTCTCCTATTACCAATAAAAAACATATTAAATTGATTACTACAAGAAAATAATCAACAAATCTTGGCCAAGTGTTCCTAGCCATATCTCACTGATCAATAAAGTATTGTTCATAATTCACAAGGTATGCCCTATGCATAGTAACTTAATAAGAATTAAGAAAGTAATGTATTAAAATATTAAAGTTTTTCTCTAGAACCTGATTTTTGAATCAGACACTCAGAGCACTGATTAGCATAGGTGCACTGCCATCTAGTGTTTACCTATCATTTTCCTTTTATTTATGCAATTTTGCTGCAAATTCAAATTTGTCAGATAATATTAAGTTATTAAACTTTATTTTTGCATCAAGACATGGCGATACTGAAGTTGATAATATTTCTCAGGGAGCTAGGCATGATGACTTGCCAGAATCATGGTATAAGCAATTTGCTGAGAAGTTCAGAGCCAGCAGGCAACTTAGACTATCATTTGGAGATCGAAAGTTACCACTTGGTGAACGGGAAGCACATAAGCGAACACCTGAGGAGATGTCTACTTATCTTATGCTTATTGAGAAGCATAAGAGAAGGAGACAAGCATTTAAGGAGGATCGACACATGGGTTTTGGAAATTCCATTTGGGAGAATGGGTCAAACATGCGCCTTTCTGTCTCAGATGGAAATGACTCAGTTGATGATGAAACATCTTTACTTCCTGAAGTTTTGTTCCCATCAAATTGTGTACCTGATAGTGCACTCCCTCCTGCAACTAGGGTGGAGGATAACCAGAAAGTGGAGTTTTATGGGGTTCTTGATAGCTTACCTCATGTTATGACTCGGAGTCCTGCAATGATTGAAAGGTTTGGCATAAGGCCAGAGTACCTCAAAATGGGACTTGGGAGAAGTAAATACAGGGGAAAGAATGGCCTTGATGAGAACAAGAAACCTCTGGGTCAGGATCAAGTATCTCGGATGTGTCAAAGGGTGATTGCTCGCATGCTGGAAAATGTGGGGTTTGAAGGTGTAACAGAAGTTCCAATGGAAGTCTTATCGCAATGCCTCAGCTGTCATATCTCTAAACTTGGACGCATCTTGAAAGTCCTCACTGATAATTACAGGAAGCAGTGTTCAGCCATGGAAATTCTCAAAATGTTCCTTCAAACAGTTGGATATAAGTGAGTAGACATTTTGCATTTGAAGAATGTTTTAGTGACTTGCTGGCTTTATTTGGATTTCAAAGAATGTCATATAGGAAAAATTAAATAACAGGAAATGGTTAAGGAATCTAAGCAATATATATCACAATTTGTTTTCCAATTCAAATGGCTATTTTTGTTTCTCTTCAACAAGGAACTTGGAATACAGAGTTTACTACTTGAATTGTTTATTCATTTACTTCTTTACATAAGTGCATAGAATAAGTCTAAATGGGGTGGTGACAGTGTATTCTCTTAATCTGTCTAATGAAAGTTACTGTTTCTGATAAAAAAAAATAGAACAAGTCTAAATGAAACAATCTATAGAAAAAAAAAAGTATAAATGAAACAAGAATCATCCACATGGAATATGGTTTTGGGTCCACCTGATCTCCTCTCCACCTCCACTTCATGGACAATTTCAGCCTAAAAGCCAACCTGGCCATTTCTGTTTCATGTATGCTAATTAAAAACTTAAAGAGTCCTTTTGATTGGTTTTAATGGTCATATCACTTGGTGACTTGATGAAAGAATCATTGTATGATAGGGTATAGGCCTACAGGGCAAGTATTGGGCACATGGCCTGCTCAGAGGCTCTTGTATTTTATGGGCACCCTGGGTTGGCTAGATCATCCCTGCACATGGCATAAATAGCAAGGTTGTATTCAGAACTTCACTCATTATATCAAGCTAGTGATGAAGAGGGTAGTGGACACCAGCTACCTAGGGTATCAAAGAGGGAATAGCTTCAGTCAGGTGGTTGGATCACCAAACAAGGTGAAACTAGAAAAAAGGGATTTCAGAGGGAGTTGCATTTCTTAATTGATTTTTAGTAGGACATTTGGCCTATGACTCCTTGGATAGAGAGATTGAGGAATGGGCTTTGTAGGGTGGGAAGGTCTGACTAACCTGGAGATCAAGATATTTGAGGGTGACCTTTCCTCTTTGTGTTCTCATCAGAGCAGGGAGGTATATTCATGCTCAAGCATGGGAAAGAATCATTCTGTGGTTCGAATTCATAGTTGGGTAAATGGAGTCCTTTATTGGGGCTATTCATCAACCTTCTTCTAACACAAGATGGTGGCAACGACATCTCTTGAAATTTGATTGAATCTCTGCAGTTGATGGTATGGTGCAGGTGACTTCAGTTCATCCCAACACCTTGGGGCTATTTGTGAATGGAAAACTTCACATCCACAACTGTAAGGTTGTAGGCCATGGCATTCTGGAGTTGAAGTAGTCTTATTGTGCCACTTGGGTCCCAGGGGGTGATTCACTGTAGGCAGGTCTCAGTTTGAGTCTCAAAGAACTGTGTGATGAAAATGATGAAAATGCCCACATAGAATAAAAAAGCAGAAGGTTGAGAATGGAGATGTGACAGGCAAGGTGGGACCCACTGCTATCATGGCAACTACTGAGATGAATGGTGCAGGGATAAGATGTATGGGTGCTAATTATCAAAAAAAAAAAAAAAAAAGATGCGGGGGTGATGTTGGAAGAATTGGTTCAAATTAAAACTTGAATTAACAACCCAAATTATTTATGAAGATTGCTGGACATGTAATGTGATCAACTGCAGACATGCCCAAAATTGGACTTGTGAGCTGGTGCTATATGGTAGTATGGTTGACCATCATGTGTCTGGTTCCATTGGGGTGAGATGGGATATTCTTAACATGGTTGGACAGGATTAACTTATTTATGTAATGTGATTCCACTCCCAGTTGAGCTAGTTTGACTATGGCAATTTATGAAGTGGTTAATAGTTGCTTTGGAGTCTTAAGGTGATGAATTAGGAGATGATGCATGACAAGGAGATGGGGGCTAGTCTCATAGTCTGCAGGATTGAAACAGGGACATGCCTTACAGTACATGCTTTTACTGTTTGAGAAAATAAAAAGGGGAGTGGAGGATGGGAGCAGTAAGTTAGGATTGTTAAGTGCAAAGGTAAGTGGAGTAGTTGCCTTTTGGCAGATAATCTTGAGAGTCTGAGCACTAATTTTCTGTCTTTAAGTAGACTGAAAAAGGAAGTACATGGCCCTCATTCAGTTGGAGGGAGATAAGGAAGGTTGGAAGACATCTGAAGACAAGAGGATGAGCAGCAGCCAGAGTGGGGGCTTAAGTTGGGTGACAGGGATTCAGAGGAGGTCCTGGTTACTGATTAATCAATTGTACAATAGGGAGCTAAAGCAGCAAATTCTTTGGTCTTTTCTGTTTGAGGGAGATGAATTTGGTCAGGCTACCTTTAGTGTGCTAGAGGAAGAGAGTAGAAGGGCCCTTTGTATGTGTACCCCCAAAAGATAAAATATTATAATAAAGGGCATCATATTTCCATTCTCCCTCCTCCCTTTTTTAATTCATCAATCCTTGAATGATATATATGGTAACCATAAAGTGGCCAATTGAACCAAAAAAGAACTGCCAAAAGAATCACGACTTCTGATGACACTCCAGCAACTTAGCATAGACTCACAGAGAAGTCATTTTTTTCTTCCTTTCCTTGCACAAAAGGGTGACAGACTTGTCTGTTGAAAATGGTGAACCCTCTAATAGAGAAGGGGTTTGTGTGTTTTTTAGCTGGTGTCTTTAATCATTACTTGGGTCTTGGAATGAAAGCTTGATTACAGCAATGGATGTGTTGACAAGAGAAGTGAATTGGGTGGAAATTCAGATTGACTCTGATGGAAGGCTTGACAAGAGGATGAAGTCTCTCAATGCAAGCTTGATTGGAAGGTTCGATGGAATGGATATGGAGGAGAAGGAAGTGATCGCTTAGGCCTATCCTGAATGGGGTAAGGATAGAGTTTTGGGTGTCAGAAGGCTGAATGAGAAACTGTTCTTGTTTATGTTTCATGGCAGGAAGGAGGCAGAGTGGGTTCTGGAGTCTGAATCTAAGTTGAATAGGGGCTGTAGTTTACGATTAAGCTGGTGGCTTCCACTTTCCAGTGGCAGGTCTCCTACAAGAAGGCAAAAGGAGGAAGGCGATGTGGATTGGTGTTCTGGGTATCCCCTGCATGCATGGAATGATGTATCCTTCAAAGTGATTAGGGGATGCCTGTGGTAAATTTTTGATTGTTGATGAAGGGAACAACAACTGGGAGAAGATCGACTTTGCGGGAATTTTGGTGGAGGTCGATGAGGTCTCTGCCATTCCAGAGTGTTTAGTTCTGGCTCTTGCAGGTGAGAAATACGACCTGAGAATTTTTGTCAAGGGAGAGGATAATACCTTTTTCAGAATGTGTGCCGAAAGCATAGTTTTCAAGGTGCAAGGTGAACCTAGGCGACAAGGGAGCGCCTAGTCGCCTAGGCGTCACTTAGTGTCTAAACAAAGATATAAAAACAAAGGGCTGATCCCCTGTTTCTATTGTAGGAAAAGCAGTAAAAAGACAAAAGCGTACTGGTGGAACCCCTGTTTTTGTTCCAGAAGAAAAAAATGGGTCGGAGCCCATGCTTTTGTACCAGAAAAAGGAAGAAGAAGGAGCTTCGTCTCTGTTTTTTGTTCTCGAAGAAGAAGAAAAAGAAGGGGCTTTGCCTCTGTTTGTGTTCTTGAAGAAGAAAAACAACAAGGGGCGGAGCCCTTGTTTTTGTTCAAGAAGAAGAAAGATAAGAAGGGGTGGAGCCCTTGTTCAAGTACCCCTACTGTTTACATATTGTCTTAAAGTACCCTACTGTTTCTGACAATTGTCTAAAACCTCCCTTGCCGTTAATTTTGTCACATTCTGTTCACATGTGACATCATGTGATTGATAATTTTTTAATTCCTAAAAATACCCTTCCAAAACTGTTCATTGTCCTCAACCTTGAGACGAAGAACAGAGCGACGATGATAAGAACCCCTACTCCTTTGGATTTGGGCAATGAGCACTTGGCTTTGTCGGAATTTGAAACCCCTCTTCTCTTCTGATTCTTATGTTTCTCTCTTTGGTTTCTTATCAGTTAGGAATTATCATACCTGGTTTGGGGAGGCAAACGATATCAGACGAGTTTCCTTGATAGAGGTTTCAGCAGAGTTCTCCTGACTGTCCCGACTGTTCCGACTCTCGGTTTCCTCTACCTCACCATTTACAATTGATTCTTCAAGCTCCATATGTATTCAGAAAATAGACTCTCAAAACTCTCCTCTTTATTAAAAGATCCCCGTTAGTTCTAATCTCTGTGTTTCAAAAGTCTTAAAATTTCCGTAATCCAATATCAGAGTACTATTTTTTTATCAGTAACAGTGGAATTTTATTAATGATAAAAATCAGGATTACAAAAGGATGGAGCTCAAAAGTCTTAACTCCAGCTACCCAAGAAACTTTCTGACCATGTAGTGATTACAAAAATAATGTGTCTCTATTTACCCCTTGCTTGGCTAGACCGTCAGCCAATGCATTTGCACTTCTCTTTATCCATGCACATTGAATTTCCATGTCCTTGGTTAACCACTTATACTTCCTCTTTTCATTGCTGTATTTCCCCATCATAGCACTGTCCTCTTTTAGCCATTTCACCACCGTTTCAGAATCACCTTCTATAACCACCTTTTTGATATTCATTTCCTTGACCTTTTGTATCCCTTCAATAGCTCCTAAAATCTCAGCCCTCGAAGAGTCTTCCACCCCAATCAGCCCAGAGTACAAGGCTAACAAGTTCCCTGTTTCATCCCTTATTACACCCCCAATTCCGGAAGGCCCTGGGTTGCCTATGCTGCTGCCATCAAAGTTCAGTTTAGTGAACCCAAGGGGTGGAGTCCAGCAAGCTTTTAATATCTTTCTACATAAGCCTGAATCTGCAATCTCCTTCCAAWTCCTTAACAGCTCATCAACTGAGAACACTTTGAACAGCTCCAATGTTCTCAACCATTGTACCATCCTAATGTGGATGATCYCCATKATTTCTTCCRYACTTCTCTCTTTATTTGAGAAGATCCTTGAGTTCCTCTCCTCCCACACTGTCCAACAGACTGCAGCTCTACCACACCTCCACATGATTATAGC